AGGATACTGGGTACAGGATACTGGAACATCTTCTTGAATAAGCAATCAAATAAGTACTTATGGAACATATTCTCAAATAAACACTTCTTGGACATATCTCGAAAATTATGAATGAATTTTGATTGTCAATTGAAACATTAATCAATCTAATATTATTTAGAATGCAGAAAATAAGTTAAACTAACTTCATTTTGACGAGAATTTTTTTTTATTTTCATGAAAAATTTGCTGAAATGAGTGAAAATTTAAAAAAACGGTGTATTTTCCAGGATAAAATCTGTACAATCCGTACAATTTGAAAACAAATCCGTACAATCCGTACAATCCGTACAATTTTAGGGTTAAAAAAAAATCAATCCGTACAATCCGTACATTTTGGCCACCCTGAATATTATGATTTTTCAAAATCCACGAAACAAATTGAAAGAAGAGCATAAATTAAAAGTTAAAATCAAAGATCGCCCTGGAAGCATAATTAATTAAAATTAACTAAATCAATCTAGAGCTTCATTTTACTTATCCGACTTCATTCATTCATTTTACTTATATCTTATATTATCCGACCTTATGATTGGTCGAGCATCACAATTCTCGAACCTCTCATTGGTAAAATCTCAGGTCTTTGACATAGAAACTGTTCAGGCTAACCTCACAACCAATGAAAAGAACGAGCTGAGCGCGTTCCGTCAATTCAAAAGTTCTCAGCTGTTGTATTACCTGAAGTTGTGACACTGTTTAGAATTCGGAGAACAGTGTTGGCTGTCACAAAGTTGAGTGTGATCTACTTGATCTAGATCAGTGAAACATCCAGCATCATTCTCATCACTACCATCATCACAGTGCTCAAATCTGTCACAAACCTGTAAGTATAAATCATTGAAACAGATTGAGTCAGAGGAAATATGGGCAGTATGTCAAAAAATAAACACAATGAATTGAAGAAGGTATAAGAACTTTTCAAGACGAAGCTTTTAGGCAAAAATCATCTCTCTCCATATTAAAATTATTTTCATTTTTGAATCAAATTTTTTTGTAATGAACATATTAGATAGATCAACACTAGTATACACTAAACAGTTGTCCAATCTGTAGATCTAAACAGAATAATACCTTGGTTTTATCTATACATCTTCCATCCTTACATTTCCATTCATTTCTCTTCTCACAACCTCTGAGCAATCAAAATAGTATGTAATTAAACCACATTATTTTAAAAAAGCATCATTTTCATGGAGAAACTAATGTTTCAGGATATATGAATTTGAGGAAAAAAATTGCACTATACTTTTACTTTTAAAAAACATTAAAACATTAAGATTTTTCTTTAACATTCCAAAGAAATTGAGTCTTTGCCACAAACTCAAATTTTATAATCTCTATATCTTTGCAACTTGATGATGTAGACCTTTGCGATTTCAAACTTTGACTAGTTAATCTGACAGAATTTATAGTTTGAAATATTAAGGTTTATGACATCGGGCTTCAATGATCTAGAGATTAGAAAGCCAGAATTTGCGACAAAAACTCAATTCCCTTGTTTTGAAATAGGTATAAAACGCTAGTCCATATATCTTAGCAATCTCATTGGGTGAAACAATAGTAAAACATTTATATTTCAAAATGTGACTATTAGATCCGGCCAATTTCTTATTTTGAAATAAAAAGGTCTACATCAGATTGCAAAGATATAAGGATATAAGGATTAAAGAAATATATAGATTATCTAAACATTAACGTACACATTTACAAAATTATTCAATAACATAACTGAATATTTATTTTTCTTCTATTTGGAGTAGATTATACTGAGGAAAGAACTAAATACGAAAAAAGCTGAATTCAAATAATCATTATAATTGTGTAAAAAAGATTTAGTCTAAAGCTTCATGGTTTCCTACAGAAAACGATAATTTTGTGAGAATTAAGGACTGACATAATATTTTACTCAGTTTGATATAAACGTAATATTTCACTTAGTTTAATATAAACAAAGTAAAAGAGCAAGGGTCGTAAACAATATAAATTATTTGTTTTAAAGTTAATTTTTCTATAATCTGAATTCATAGCAGGGGTTTATATTTTAAAGAATCTATACCCTCCCGGGGAAAAATTTAACCCCCCGTTTTAATAACTTTTTACAAAAAAATATGATTTCCCACCTGAAAATCATATATAATTCTGAAGTCAGTGAGTTAAATTAAAAAAAAGTTATTTTCGATAGGGTGAGATTGGGGATAAACAAAATCTTTTAGTGGTTGTACACTGTACAGGGATAACTAAAACTGAGGCTTCAAGCACTTGTTCACAGTTGTTCAGAAATCAGGAGTGAATATTTTCAAAACAATCACCCCCCCCCCACCTTTTAGAAAATTATTTTTTCTCCCAGATATTTTTAGCTGAATTGGGTAAATCAAATTATTTTTAGAAGAAACTTAACCTGTTAGCTGGGCCTAGAGATGAGTTACAGACGACTGCATCTTCAAGTTTACTAAAACAGTCTCCGGTCCTCTCACAGTAAAAGTGCTCAAAACCATGGAACGATCTACAGAAAAGTATTCCAATTCAATAGAATAAGACTCTCAAGACGACATAAATTATTTATTTACGACGATCTTAAGGTTACATCTACTCCTGTCCTCTACATTAAATATAATCTTGATGAAAAAATCTGCACATTTACCAAAACATTAGAAAAAGTTTTTGCGCTCAAAACACAAATTTTAAGTTTTAACTAAAACCTTTATAATGGTAATTCAAGTATATTGCATAATAATTTTAAATAAAATAATTTGGAAATGTGTTATAGTTAATATAAGTTAGGAACACTCAAAGAATTACTCATGAGCTGGAAACAATAGATCCAGACAGCTTTTAAGTTTGGTTTCAATTTTCCACACTGAGCCAACTTTAAAGTGTCGCATTGCTTTCGCCTTTAGGTTTACCCAAAGATTCTCTATCTTTGATTTACCCTACTTAATTATACATTTGTGTAGCCTTAGACATGCACATTTAAGAATTACAACAAAATTGTTTCTAGCTTCAGTTTATTTGGTAGTAATAGCATAATTTACTACATAAATACGTACCGACATTCAGAGTCTGGGTAAAGGTTGCAACCTTGCCCGGCTTCCATTCCCTCATCAGAGTCATCAGTGCATTGATGGAATCCATCACAGACCCAGTACATACTAAACAGATCATTAGTACATTGATGGAATCCATCACATACCCAACCCATGCTAAACAGTTCACTAGTGCATTGATGGAGTCCATCACATACAAAACAGTTTACAAATTAAATATTGATGGAATCCATCACAGACCTAATGCATAGTGAATTGATGGAGTTCATCACAGACCCATTACTAGCATATTGATGGAGTTTATCTCAGACACAGTACATACTAAAAGTTCACTAGTACATGATGGAATCCATCACAGACCCATTACATACTAAACAGTTCACTAGTACATTGATGGAGTTCATCACAGACCCAGTACATACTGAACAGTTCACTAGTACATTGATGGAATCCATCAATTAGTACATATATTAACTATAGTTACCTAATGCAATCATTATCTTGACATCTCCATCCATCCTCTCCTAGCTCTTTCTAGTAATAATCGAATGGGTAGTAAAATCGTTAGGGGGGGGNGGTAGTTTCCTAGTATACGATTTTTGGACCCCCCCCACCCCCCCCCCCCCCCATCCTATCAATTTTGTACATGACCACTTTTTATCAGAAAAATTACTAATATTTATTTTATATTATCTTCGGGTTAGATCATGTGAAGAAAATTGCTGGGCCGAACAAAGCGGCTTGGAAGGCCAGGGGGTCGAGTGCTGCGTCTAGGGGGCCGGGCGCTGCGGCACATGACCCATTGTATCCATGTGTTACATATGAGATTCATGTAAAAAATTGATAAGAGGGGCGGGGGGTCCAAAAATCGTTCTCTTGGAGTTTACCTTCTCACTTTTAACCCTCACAATAAATGCGTAACATTGTGAATGTAAAAGTTTAAAATCCGTCCTAGTATACGATCAATATATAATGACCAAGTAATTTTCGGTAAAATTATCGTTAATTTTTTAGTATTATTTTAGAAAATAGGTAAAGTCAAGCCAATTTCTGGCCCGAGCGCTGCGGCTAGGGTGCCGAGTGCTCCGGCTAGGGGGTCAAGCGCCGCGGCTATGACAGGCTAGGGGGCCAGGTACTGCGACCACATGACCAATTATTTCCATGTATTGGTATATTACTAGAGAACGATTTTTGGACCCCCCCCCCAGCCCCCCCTCCTATCAATTTTGTACATGGGTCTGACAGGAAGTGTCTTAACTTAACCTAACCTGTGGCCGCAGCGCTCATCCCCCTAGCCTGTCCTAGCCGCAGCGCTCGGCCCAGAAAGTGTCTTAACCTAACCTAACCCTAAATAATAAGAAATAAATAATAATAAATTTGCTGAAAAATAAGTGGTTATGTACAAAATTGATAGGAGGGGGGGGGGCCGGGAGGGGGTCTAAAATCGTTCCCTAGGACAGACCCACTTTCTGGGCCGAGCGCTGCGGCTAGGATAGGCTAGGGGGCCGAGCGCTGCGGCTAGGACAGGCTAGGGGGCCAGCGCTGCGGCCAGGACAGGCTTGGGGGCCGGGCGCTGCGGCCACATGGTCAATTATATCCATGTCTTACATGTAAGATCCATGTAAAAAATTGAAAGGAGGGGGGAGGGGGTGGGGGGTCCAAAACTCGTTCTCGAGGAAATTACCTAGAGCTTGAATGTATTTAACTTTTGTAGATTTTACATTTGTAAGCAACTACTTATTCTTATTTAAAATTCGGTGATTCTTATGTTATCTATAATCTGATAATATTTTTAAATAAAAATTCGAGAGACACGAAGCGCAATTTTAAGCCAACAGACATTGCTGAATTTTTGACAACAAATAAATTGATTTTTAAAATAAGTATTAGTACAGGACACCAACTGTACACAGGAATCATAATAATTTAACGTTAACATTATTAACAAAATATTCCTATGTACGTAATAATTAATTATATTGCAGGATGAAATGCAAGGAACAAGTGCAGTCAGTCTTTGTACCTTAGTTGTACTGGGGACTCCGCCTCCAATTATTTAGGTTAGTTCATTTACTGTAGTTGTACTGGGGAGTCCGCCTACAATTATTTAGGTTAGTTCATGTACTGTAGTTGTACTGGGGAGTCCGCCTCCAATTATTTAGGTTAGTTCATGTACTGTAGTTGTACTGGGGCGTCCGCCTCCAATTATTTAGGTTAGTTCATTTACTGTAGTTGTACTGGGGCAGCCGCCACCAATTATTTAGGTTAGTTCATGTACTGTAGTTGTACTGGGGCGTCCGCCTCCAATTATTTAGGTTAGTTTATGAACTGTAGTTGTACTGGGGCGTCTGCATCCAATAATTTAGCTTAATTTATGTACTTCTGCGTCTGCCTCTAATCATTTAGGTTAATTTATGTACCGTTGTACTAGATTATCCCCCCAGTACTACATGTTAGTTTATGTACTGTAGTTATATTTGGGTATCCCCTCCAGTACTGCTGGTTAGTTTATGTACAGGGTGGCCAAAATGTACGGATTGTACGGATTGTACGGATTGATTTTTTTTAACCCTAAAATTGTACGGATTGTACGGATTGTACGGATTGTACGGATTTTTTTCGAAAATT